CACCGCGGCTACGCAGTTTTTCCCGTCAGTCAGAACGTTGGGCCACGATGGCATCATTCTCAACCACTTGTGTTTCGATCGTGCGTTGTTCACTGCGATCGAGAGAACCTGGAAACAATCGCGCGAGCTGCACTACCACATCGCAGCTGGGGGCGGAGAGGCCACGGGGACTTTAGCCATTCAGCAGCTCGGAGAGATCACTGTGTCGACGCCTTGCAGCGTGCACGATGTTCACAACGCTCTCAAGTGGAGTGTGGCCCCAATGCTGGAGATTGGAGATGCGGACAACCTCAAGTCTTTGCACATCTGCATCGAATCTCTCCGCAACGCGTTTGATTTGATCCACTCTCGCACGCCTTCCTTCGTCGCTTCTACGCTGGAGTTTTCGCCCGACCCAGTTGACGGTGCGATGTTGTATGAGGACTGGTCTTGTCTGGGGCTGAAGCCTGACATTGTGAATTCGTCGGTGGAAAGTGGATGGACTCAGATGGGAAAACGGGCGGCTGAACGTTTTCGATCAGTTCCGCACTGAACATGGTTTTGCGGGTCACATCACCCCCCTGTTGCTGGCAACGTTCTCCTTCGACTCTTTCACGGGCAGTCGTTGGCGCAGCCTCGGGGGTTCTTGCAGGACCCTGGTTGCATCTATGAGCCTTGGTATTGACGAGATTGTGGCCCGCATTCGCCAAGACAAATCGTGCTCATATTATTACATTCACGGTTGGGAACGATGTGCTCCGCCAGTTCGGTTGTACGCAGCAGTCTGTGCAGTTCCCAGCCACGTTTCGGATGCGGTACTGGCGCGCATGCTCAAGGACGACAGGATCCATGCGACGGCGCGCAAGCTTGTCAGGGCCATGAAAAAAAAAACCGAACACGACTACGTGGCCGACTTGTCGGCGACGTTCTGGAAGCACCTCGGGCGGGCTGTGGGCCACAGGGCAGGGTGGTTGCAGAGCTGTTCGGTCAAGGCAGCAACAGTGCAGTGCGCATTCTTCAGGGAGCGGGCCCTGTACGCAGCGTTGAACTACCCGTGGAAGCTGCGCGCGGAGGACGCAGCCAACAATTTGGACAGGCTCGCGAAGGCATTTGGTGGGCGGCAGACAATGGCGCACCCCTTCCCCCCCCCCCCCGCGCCTCTTGCAACTGTTTGTGTTTGGGCCAAGCGCAAAGTGCTTGGGCGCCAGCAGAAACAGCGGGCCCCATCATGGCGCCCCGCTGCCCCCGAATACCTTCGCGCAGGAGGATGGGCCTTTCGACGTGGCCACGGGGAAGATCAAGCGGCTGTGGGTCGACGAGCTTTACCCTCGCAGCCAGGTGTTGCAGCTGCTTAACCTCATGGAAAATATTTCATGGTCTTCTACTGTTGTGGAACAGGGACACGGTGCTCTTTCTGCCGCGCACAAGGTGCACAAACGGTACTCGAAGGAATCCGTCGTCAAGCATTCTTTCTTGCGCCAGATAAGGCCTTTGTTCTCCGACGAGCCCGACAGGGACAGGCGCGCCCGCGGCAGGCTGGAGAGGCTGAACAAAAAAAGAACCCGACACATTCAACGGCCACGCCATGTTCATCGGGAGCGCGATTTCCCTCCTCAAACAGAAGTTGGGCGGCCCCCAGTCGCCGAGGGGGAAGCACGTGGGCCAGAACCTCATGATGGTTGCCAATCAGATGTGGTCAGAGCTCTCGAAGGATGCGAAGCACGAGTGCAACCAGCAGGTGGAGATGGAGCGCGCCCGTCGGGAAGACGCCATTTTGGATGATATCATCACAGAGACGGGCGCCCTCCATGCCGCACGGGGCCAGCTGACGCACGACGACGTGAAGCATGGCCAGTTGGGCCGCTTGAGGAACGTCAGATTCAGCGACGCGGACTTGACTGCGATGGCACGCAGGTTATGCACGTGGCCGCGCAACATGGCGTACACGGAGAGCGAGGGCATGAAAGCATTGCTACCGCCCGAGGCACTTTCGCGCGCCTTGCAAGAAAGACTGCAGAGCATGGTGGCTGACGCCAACAACAAGTTCGCCCGCGAGGGGCCCGTGCCCGACTGGGTCAGGCGGGTCTGCGCGCACAGGCAGATGTTCGCGGAGACCGCGCTCGTCTTCCGCAGCCCAACGGGCATCGAGAGGTACCTCCTGGTGGTGCATGCCATGCAGAACCCTCTGTTCGTGAACTTGATGGAGCTCAGGCGGGAGCCCAGACGGCCCGCCCCGCTGGTCGGCACCTACGCTGGCTTTGAAAGGGACATGGCGGACAGGGCCAAGCACGAGTTCAGACGCGAGCTCCGCTTCGTCCCAGACCGAGACGTGGAATGCGAGGACGGCACCACCATCCACGTGTTGGGCTTCATGTCTTTGG